AGTATATTTATTCTTTTAGTAGATGCAGCTAAATTTGATTGATTTGTAGGAAAAATACCACTGCAACAGTAAACCCTTACCTGCAAAATTTTCTCAGTATTGCTATTAATTTGTTCTGGTAAATATTTCAACTTTGTCTTTGAATTTACTTTTGCTAACCAGGATGCAACACATTTTATGCTTTCACCAGCTTTGCTTATAAATATTTTCATGTTGTTTCTAATTATCTTTCCTGTATTTAGAACAGGCATTGTTTAGAAGGTTTGCCAACAAGGAAGCTAGGAACGTGCGGGATGAGCCGTGGTCAGGCTGGACAGGGGGTGGGAGCACTTTATTATCCTGTGGCAGGTTGCCACGGTTGATGGGAAACTTTCTCCCATCTTCCCTTTGACTTTGTCTTAATGCTCTTCCTTCTGTATCTCTTTGGAATTTACTCAGCATGTGTGTGTTACATGCTAGTGAGTTAGCCCGGACTCCCAGGGACCCTATGAATGGGTGATGTCCACAGTGGACTATCTTTAGCATCCTTCTCAGCTCTGTAGACTCATATCGATGGTTTCTTTATGGAATCAACCCATCTGATATTTAGTCTTCCACTTTTTCTGCTGCCTTCCATTCTTCCATGCATCATTTTTTTCCAAAAAAAAACCAAAAAAACCTGCCCTCTCATGATGTGCCCAGAGTAGTATAGCTTTAGTTTTGTCATTTGCCTCTAGTGATAGTTTAGGCTTAATTTACTCTATAGACCCACCTGTGTATCTTTCTGACAATCCAGGATATCCACAGAGCTCTGCTACAACACTGTATTTCAGTTAACCAATTTAGCCTACTAAATGACATACATGCACCAGCTAGATTTGGGGGGAAAAGTATTTAGTTTACCTAAAGTCTGTTGACTCTGCCTCTACAATGTTAGGTCTCTATTAATATTTTCACATAATTATTTTTTAAAGATACAATAATAACTCCCCATTTAAACTTCAATACTTCATTAGTATGTATATAAATTTGAATAAATATGTAAGGAGAGTAAATTTACTAATATTTAGTCTAGAATCTGGTATCAAAAACTATTAAAAAGATCTACTGAAAGTATATTAACTGTATTTATTAAAAATTTAAGTTTTTGTCATTTTTAAATAATGAAGGTGTTTGCTACCTGCTTCTGTCCTTTAGTGCACAGCCACCTGTGGACATGGGTATCAGATGCGTGCTGTGAAGTGTGTGGATGAGCTGCTCAGTGCCGTGTTGGATGACAGACTGTGCTATGGAGCTAGTCGCCCCAGTGACAGGCAGGTAAAGGACACCTCTTCCTGGATTTTAGAAAAGAAAGATTTATGATGCAGGAGGATTATTGATGTGTTAAAATTATTTCCACATGTATTTTCCCCACTATATGCCTTATGAACGTGTGTGTGCATACTCGCCAGAGAGAACTTATTGTCGTTGGTTTTGCCAGCCTTATAGCTTTAGTATTGCTTTTTTAATTCTTTATCTGCCATTGGATCACTCATTTAAAGTATATCTCCATCCTTTGAATTGTAGAAGCAGGACAATATTATAAATACCATGAACTTTTAAAGTGTGTGGTACTGTTTAAGGTAGTGTGTGTTCATTCAAAACGTTTCAGTTCAGTGATATTTTTGGACTATTGCTCTCTTCTTTTTCAACCATCAGAACAAAACAACCCAAACTTGAGGATTCAGAGTGATACTATCCACTTCAAGCCCTTGATAGTACTTTATACTTTTTTTTTGGGGGGGGGGATGGGGAGACAACCCTTTCCATTGTTTGTTTGCAATTTAGTAGGAACTGTGCTTGAATTAGGTATGTGGGAGAAGAAATGAAGCATAGGATTTAATATACATCAGAGTGATTAGTTGATTGATGTTTTATAAGATCCATTTTTCTTTTGAACAGGACTGCATCATGATACCTTGCCCAGTTATCCCTAAAACTGGGACCACTTCATTACCAGCTGTTCCCATGGGAAAGACAGCACAGTGGCGATATGGTTCTTGGACTCCAGTAAGTGAATTTTATTGGGCAGTACAGTATTTCTACTATTGGAGGCTTTCAGGCATCGCCAAAGTGGTTGCTACAGATTTAACAAATTAATGTCTGCATTCATTCTCAGGTATTTTGATGGTTGGAAGGAGTTTGGGGTTTAGAAATAGGTAATTTAATGGCTAAATCCTGCTGTGCTTTTCAAGGACTTAGGTATTCTTAGGTTTTCTAGTTTCTAATCTACAAAATGGGGTAATATGTCACAGGTTGTGAGGGGAAGCAGATGGGACATGAAGCTTTTTATCAGCCTTGATTTAAACTACTGACATTTTCATGTTTTTCAAAACTGAAAGCTTTGCTTTAAGCATATGTGGTATATATTTTAAACCTTTGCATATTCTCTGAATCAATGATGGGTTCATATCTACTCTATTACTTAGGCTTTCTAAGATATCCTATCTAATAAAAGAGTAATATGAAAATTGACCATCACTCCAGCACACAAGATGGTTGTTCCCATGTGGACACAAGAGGGCTGGCAGGGGAGGGCTGTTGTGGGCGATCAGGCTAGCAGGGGAGGGCAGTTGGGAGGAACCAGGCCTGAAAGGGAGGGCAGTTGGGGGTGATCAGGCCTGCAGGGGAGCAGTTAGGAGTTGATCAGGCTGGCAGGCAGGTGAGTGGTTGGGAGCCAGCAGTCCTGGATTGTGAGAGGGATGTCTGACAGCCCTCAAGAGGTCCCAGATTGGAGAGGGTGCTGAGGGACACACCCTACCCTGTGCACAAATTTCATGCACCGTGCCTCTAGTTTTAAATAAATATTTTAGTGTTTTCTTATATAAAATGCTTTTAATATCTCTAATTTGCAAATAATCAGTATTCCAGGAAGTTGATTGAGTGTTTTATTCTCATTACCATAAATGTTTAATTTGTGAAACTTATGATCTAAACTGACTCGGGTATCCACTGCCCTGTCATTGACTCAGAAGGGATGCCAGGTGATAACATTTGTGATTTGATTTTTCAAGAAACTTGATGTTTTAGAAATTGGAGCAACAGCTATGTGTATGGGAAGTAGGAGAGGTACTATATAACACCTTGGTATCATTCAATTTTTTAAGTGTTCTGCATCTTGTGGAAGAGGCAACCAAGCCCGCTATGTAAGCTGCCGTGATGCTCATGACGGAATAGCAGATGAATCATATTGTGCACATTTACCTCGACCTGCTGAAATCTCCATCTGTTTTAGCCCTTGTGGGGAGTGGCAAACAGGGGATTGGTCACCTGTAAGTATTTTTATGAGAAAAAAATGAAATGAACAATTTAAATATAATTAAGAAGTACAATTGGCAGTTATAAAATAGTGACGGGGGATGTAAAATGCAGCATAGGGAATATAGTCAAAATATTGTAATGACTCGCAATGTGCCAGGTGGGTACTAGACTTATGGGGGAGGGATAACTTCATAAGTTATATAAATGTCTAACCACTATGCTGGCCACCTGAAACTAACATGATATTGAATGTTAACTGTAATTGAAAAATAAAAAAAATTAATATTGAGTATAATCTTGTAGTTTACTACATTACGAATGTTGTCTAAATTTGTGATCAGTGTTCAGCTTCCTGTGGCCATGGAAAAACAAACCGGCAAGTTTTATGCATCAAGTACCATCAGCCAATTAATGAGAATCACTGTGACCCTGAAGTTCGCCCTTCAGCCGAACAGGAATGCAATGTGGCAGCCTGCCAGCCCTCGTACAGCAACTTTCCGAGTTCCTCTGAGCAGCCAAACCATTTTCCAGGCAGGAATTTTCCACTAACTCACAAACCAGAAGATAATGAAAAGTGGGGGGTCCATCCATCAATCAGAGGAAACCAATGGAGAACAGGACCATGGGGTTCGGTAAGCCATCTTTATTGAGTTATATTAATTCTGTAATTTTGTTATATTATAGCCTTTTAACGGATATGTATGTAACGACATCAAGTGCTTTTAATGCTAGATTTATCTGAAGATCAATAATTTAAACCTTAACGGGATTAAGCAAATTTTGATTTAGATAACAAATCCCCAGAGTTCTTATTGAATTATACTAATGTGATGTTATGCTTACAGAAGAATGCACTTAAAAACAATCAGATTACAGTCCATTTTAATAAAAGCAAAAGGAAAATCTTTTAAGACTACAAAGGTTTATGAAAAAAACCCAGAAATTGGTAGCAGTGCAGCAGGCTGGTGTAAAAATATGATAAACTACAGAAGGTACGATTGTATTTCATATTTTACATGCGATTAATGACACAAAATAAACACAACAATATCAAAGTTAAGTAACATAACACTAGTTATTCCTTCATATTGAGACCTTAAAAATGTTAATTCCTTTTTACTTAATACTTAGGGAAAAGGTGAATTTCCTATTGCAAGCTTTTTTAAGATATCTCTTTTTCATGAATTTAATGACTCAGCATTATACAGATGCAAATTCTCCCCAAATTGGCATATAGACTCTATGAAATACCAGTCAAACTTTGACTCCTTGTGGGGGACTGAGACTGATAAGTTGTTTCTAGAATGTATATGAAAATTAAAAAGTCAAGAATAGTAAAAAACAAACACAAAAACACAGTCACCTTTTCATCAACAAACTCTAATGCAGCCCCTACGAAAGTTCAAGTGTTCTGACGTATTTTCTCAATTCAAATTATGATTCCAACAAAGGGAGTTTTTACGTGGGGAGTTTGAATTTGAGTCAAACTCGTAATTTTTTTCACCATGTAACTTCATGATGTGGATCTGTAGTTTTGTTTTGTCTTGTCAGTGCTCCAGCAGCTGTGCTGGCGGCGTTCAGCGTCGGGTTGTGGTCTGCCAGGATGAAAACGGACAGAGTGCCCATTACTGTGATGTGGACGCCAAACCCCCTGAGGCAAAGCATTGTGACACAGGACCCTGTCCACAGTGGAACTACGGGAGCTGGGGAGAAGTAAGTCAGAGCATTTCTTAAACTTGTGGAGAAGTACGACATCTCTGAAGACCAGAAGTTAAGCACTTCCTACTGTTAACTGATGGGTAATCTTACTTCACTACACTATGAAGAGAGATTTTTTTAAAAATTTTTATTGAGTTACTAAAACCGTGTTCTGCTTATAGATATCCTATCACTAGAGGCCTGGTGTACGAATTTGTGCACCAGTGGGGTCCCTTGGCCTGGCCTGTGGGATCGGGCCGAAACTGGCTCTCCAACATCCCTTGAAGGGTCCTGGAATGCGAGAGGGAGCAGCCCCGACCGAGGGACCCCACTGGTGCACAATCGGGGCTGGGGAGGGACACAGGAAGTTGGCCAGCCAGGGAGGGACCACAGGAGGGCTCCAGGGTGTGTCCGGCCCATCTCACTCAGTCCCGATCCGCCAGACCCCAGCAGCAAGCTAACTTACCAGTCGGAGCATCTGCCTCCTGGTGGTCAGTGCATGTCATAGTAAGCAGTTGAGTAGCCTTAGCATATTATTAGCATATCATTAGCATATTATACTTTGATTGGTTGAATGACCAATCAAACGACCAGACGCTTAGCATATTAGGCTTTTATTATATAGGATGGTATATATCACTCACTCATGACAGGAAATATATACTCCAGATTTTAAAACAGAATCTAATAAGGCTAGCCAATATGTCTATGAATCTAATGCCTTTCTAAAATTAGTATATTAATGTCTTAATTTCTTAGAAAATTAGATTGATATATAGGCCATGTTTATATCTTATTACTGAACTATTCATTTGCTAAATCTCTTAAACAGAGAGTTGACGATTATTGAGCACTTTATTTTTGTCCTGGCATTCTTCTAGTTACTTTGTATCTAAAGATAATTTTTAAAATGGTTATAATGAATAACAATCTTGCCTGTATTATGGGTGAGAAGAATGAGGAAGAAATTGGCATTGGATGAATAAAATAAACCACCTAATTTAATTAGTCAAATGTTTTTGTTTCATAGGAAATTTGGAATTTATTTTTAAAGATACACTTCTGACCAATAGCTTATATATATCAAGTAACATGTATATTTCTCAACTTAGATATGTTTATTGTGAATATTCAAGTAATATGAAAAATTATGTAGAGAATAGAGACCCGGTGCACAAAATTCATACACTCCGGAGTTGGGGAGTCCCCTCAGCCTAGATTGTGAGAGGACACAGGCCAGGCTGAGGGACCCCCACCAGTGCATGATTGGGGCCGGGGAGGGATACGCGAGGTTGGCCAGCTAGGGAGAGATCATGGGAGGGCTCGAGGGTCTTGCTCAGTCCCAATTAACCAGACCCCAGCAGCAAGCTAACCTACGGATCAGAATGTCTGCCCCTTGGTGGTCAGTGCATGTCATAGCGACTGGTCAACTGGTTGACTGTCTGCCCCCTGGTGGTCAGTGCACATCATAGTGAGCGGTCATTAGCATATTACGCTTTGATTGGTTGAACAGACAACCAGACACTTATCGTATTAGGCTTTTATTATATAGGATGAGAACTTTTAACATATTGATACATTTCCTGCCAGACTTCTGTTTTATAGTGGTCTAGAAATAGGGTCATATTACCTAGGCTGCTTTGCCACCTGCTGTCTTTATGTAATATATACTGAACATCTTTCCATGTGTATAAATTTAGATCTGCCTTATTAGCTTTCATAGCTACAGAGTAATCTATTGATAAGACACTGTACATTATGTAGTTAAAACTTATTAAGTAAGTCAGTTTTAGAGTCTATATTATAGATCCTTCATATTTTATTGAACTATCTTATGGTACTAATTCTCAAAATTTTGTCAATTTTTTAAATTATAGAAGAGTCTATATTATAGATCCTTCTAGCAAGAGTCTATATTATAGATCCTTCATATTTTATTGAACTATCTTATGGTACTAATTCTCAAAATTTTGTCAATTTTTTTAAATTATAGAAGCAATACTTTGACTTACTTTTTGCCCAGGAAGAAATGTTGACAATTATGAAGAAAGGATAAACTTTAAACTGTAGCATTACTAATTATATATTAAACATTGAATAAAGCAATATCATATTCTCTTTCAAGCCACATAGTTTTGAATTTTCTTCTTATTTTTAGTGTACACAAACATGTGGAGGAGGAATAAAATCAAGATTTGTTATATGTCAATTTCCCAACGGCCAAATGTCACAGGAGCAAAACTGTGAAATCTTGAACAAGCCACCTAGCGTGGCACAATGTCATGTTCATGCTTGCCCTGATGATGTCTCATGGCATCGGGGACCATGGAATTCGGTACGATAGTATTCTTCTTTTTAACCTTGGTGTTTTGTTTTACTGTGTCCCTTTTACTTTCATTTCCTTTTTTATGAATTATGATGCACACTATGTCTTCTCATTATTTTTTAAGGAGACCATTGGTCATCTTGGCTTGTGTTATTAAATATGATAGTTTGGAAGTACAATCTATTCAATTTCAAGTACTGTAATATATATAATGGTTTTATATGTATTTATTTTTTTACAAGTGAATTTTGAACCATAGTCCTATTCTAATTGAAATATTTTATTCTGGTACATCTTTCGCTTGCCCTCTAATCAAAAATGTTTACTATTTACATTTGTATCTAATGTTAATGTTGTGCTTGTAATAATGGCAAATTAAGGCAGTGTGTTGAGTGCATAACTGTATGTGGCTTTCTTTTGTCTGTCAATGTCTAGTTACTGATCCAAAAGCAAATAACATTCTTTAAAACTTTGTTTTTATCATTGTTAAACTTAGTATTTTGCTTTGAAATGTGAAAATATTATATAAAAGTAAAGACAGAGACTTTTACATTGCTAAAGTAAATTAATTGTTTACAGCTTGTTACATACATCATGGAAAAGTATGATTTATATAGTAATTTATATGAAAATTAATTTCTTCCACTGTGTGGAGTTACTGTGTTTTGGGGATGTTTTATTTTTTTTTTGTTTATTTTTTGGAGCCATAGACAAAATTTGTAAATATTGTTTGTGAATGGTTTATTTTTTCTAGTATTTTTCAAATATTCAGACTTTGAAGAACAATTAATTTATATATATATTTTGAAATTAGCATTTTGGTCACTTTTGATATTTTAAGTCATGAATAGCCAAGTATACTTCTTTCAGGTGAAAACTGATTTGAGTCTATAATCTATTTATAATTAAATTTATACAACTAAACTACAACTAATTCTGCATTTGAAAAATAATTATAACTCTGGTTTTATAACCAATTTTGATGTGTACAGTTGTTTTTCTTTGTCCAAGTCAAAGCGTTACAGTGATAAGTAAACCCATGTTTCCACTTACGCTATTTGAGAAGTGCTAGTACATGTTCTAATTTAGGCAGAAATTCATCTTTACAATCAAAGTGTGACTGATGATATAAAACATCCGAACATTTTAACTTCATAGGAGGATCTTAAAGTTGTGCATCAGAGTGCCATCATTTTGTGGGAATTAACGAAAGACATATTTTGCCATAGAAAGCATCTACATGTATACTTCATATAAAGTTTACTGACCATCTACTATACCCTAGGCCAGTGGTTCTCAACCTTATGGCCCTTTAAATACAGTTCTTCATGTTGTGACCCCAACCATAAAATTATTTTCATTGCTACTTCACAACTGTAATGTTGCTACTGTTATGATTCATAATGTAAATATCTGATATGCAGGATGGTCTTAGGCGACCCCTGTGAAAGGGTCATTCAACTGCCAAAGGGGTCGCGACCCATAGGTTGAGAACCGCTGCCCTAGGCTCTAGGCTACAGAGATAGTAAAGAAGTTTCTTACTCCTGTGGAGTGTACAATCTAGTTGGAGAGATTTAAAATACTATAGAAACAACACAAAAAGGTATCATTTTTTTGTTAGTCATCTTAGATTGAAAATTCACTTTCTCTTTTCTAGATCTCTACATTTTCTTTCATCTTATTGGTTTTAGTTTGCAAGAGTAGGTTTTAATAAGGCTATGGGTTGCCCTCTTGGAATTTTGCCCCAATTAGGAAAGCAGACTCCTGACCACTAATTAGACATTGAATCGTAATGGCATTTGTTTCTGAGCACAAGGTTTTATTTTCCCTACTCATTCATGGCTTCATTAATTTTCAGAGCATTAAACATTTACATAATGTCTTCTTCTTTAGGCTAGTTATTGAAGTACCTAAAAAATCAGTGTTTTTGAGTTTGATTTTCTATGAAAGGGGTCAGCAAACTACAGCCAATGGGTTAAATCTGGCCTACGGCCTCTTTCGTAAATAAGTTTTATTGGAACACAGTGAAGCACGTTTGTATGTGTTATCTATGGCTGCTTTTGCACTATTAAGCAGAGATGATTAGTTGCAATAGAGACTGTATGGCCCTCAAGGCTGAAATATTTACTATTTGGCCCTTTCTGGGAAAAGTTTGCTGACTTCTGTCTTACTTAATAAACTTTAAAATGCTTTTAAAATTTAACATAAAATGTAATTATAGTTATATAGAATATTAGAATTACAAATGTTCATTTGGGGTCAGTTTTAGATTTATTAACTCTTTGTTTCATTTTTTAAAACCACTTAAGGTCTATCAACCTTCTCTATCTAGTCTCTGTAGTATTCACAGAATTTTATTCCAGGTTTATGACATATAATTGGTCTTTATCATCACGTAAGTTTAATGTGAACAGTTTCACACATTTACATATTGTGTTGGAATACGTGATATTCCAATATATTAGTGTCATGCTTGTTTTTGTATGAAAATGATATCATAAGGGAAAAACCTTGAATGTTCATTAAAGTCCTGTGAAGATGACTTCTTCAGTATCACAAAAACAAATGAACAAGGAAACAATAATAGCCATAAATTACAAATAGTAAGACAGAAGTACACAATTCATTGCCTACTGCATATCTATTCCAAATGGAGTTCATTGAATAATTCAGTCTTTGCACTAATGAAGAAATGTAATCTTTATTTTTCTGATAAATTGAAGGTGAATTTTAAAAATCACAAATGTTTATATCAGAATTTTTACAAACTTATTTATTTATCTTTATATGTATTATATATATATTCCTAGAGTTCCTGGATTTCTTTTATTATATGGAGAATTTCACTCCTTAAATTAGCCTTTTATATTAAAAGGGTTTAAGGAATCTGAAGTTTTGTTAAAATTAGATATAACCTTTTACCTCTTTCAGTTTTGCTACATATTAGCCAAACTTCAGAATACCTCTTATTAACATATCAGTTTAATATTCTTTCATGGATAATTTTAATTTTAACAGGTCCTGTTCACTAGATTAGAAAATTAAGAATGTGTATGTATACGTATGTGTATACATATACATATATATCAGTGTCATGAAATTTCAGAAACACTTTTCATTTTAAAGCAAAATTAAAAATATGAAGTGCTAAATCATTAAAGTGTAACTAAGAAGAAAAGTTGTTACTGTACATTTAAATTTTCTCCATGTTGTGGGAAATCTTGTAATAACAACTATGATTAAAGAAAGGAATAAATAAGTCTTAACCTATGTCTGTTAATTTAATGATTACTTTTTGGGATTAGTCAATGTAAAATGATTGTATTTTAACCCTTGTTATTAATAACATGTGTTGTGGCTTTGTGCTTTGCATAATTCATATGTATATGTTGTATTTTTATTCCTTGGATTAATACCTAAAATGTTTTAAGTCACTGAACAAATCTTTTGTTGTAATGAATGCCTCCTTTCTTTTGGTGGTATATTTTCCTTAAATAACAACTTTTCATTTCTATAATTAAACATTTAATTGTTGAATAGTACATGTTTTTATAATTTTACTTAGTATATATATAAGCTGCTGCTATTTTTCAGATAATTTTTTAGAAACTAACATTGATATTAAAAATATATGATTTGTTGTTTAGTTATCAATTTTTAAATACTAGAAATTTTATAATTTCCTTTTATATGTTATAAACAATAAAAATTTGATACAAAGTACTTAGTACATTAAAAATAAATGTGCTTATGATCAAGATAGTCTTTAAAAGGTAAGTGAATTTTTACTTTCTCTCTTTCATATATATATATATGAAATATTACACATAACATCAAACTGTTGCAACAAATGTTCTTTAAATAAATTTATATTAATCTCTGTATTTTTCCACTAAATCTCATTTAAGTGATTCATTTTCCTACATGTTTTTATTCCCTACATAGAATGAAATTATATTTGATAAGACAAACAATGAGTGCTTCAGTGTGTTCTGGGACTGGTGATGTGCCTAGAAGAAGTAAAGAGAGTATTCTTTTCCATTAAAGATTGTTGTTTTTGCACAAAAATAAGAAAATTGTTTTTAAAAAATGAAAATTCAATACTTGAACAAGTTTGATTCTGGCACTTTCCCTCAAAGTGTTTTTTTTTAAAAAGAATAGACTTCTGAAGCATCTTGTAATTTATATATATTACATACATATATATAACATATATAAGCTTGTATACACACACACACACACATATATATATATAAATTTCTATATAAAATATAGTGTGTATACTAAATATACATACAGAATGCAACAGAAGCACTTCCAGAAGTGATTAGTGGTAGCAGCACACACCCAGTAAATCTGCAGTTTTGATTTTAACAGCTTTGAGTAACAAAAGAACATTGAGGGTCTGAAAAGAGGGGTTAGGTTGCTTGAGTCAACTGCTATTATGTAATTGAGTGACCCTTATATATTTTTATAATATATTTATACATTGCAAACATATTTAATATGTAAGTATATTTTGTGATTTGTAGAATATATACAAATGTGGATTTAAAAATATAAGGTGATTATATACTATTAAACATAATTTTTACTTTATGGATAACACTTCTCTCACTGAAGTATTGTTATAATTATCTCATTTTTAAGAAAAATGATAGAATGTTTTATTAATTTTGAAAATTGTATATCAACACTATTCTAGCAGTTCAAAAATCTGGTTGTTTCAATATGTGATATCAGTAGCTTCCATAGCTGAAAAATTACCTTGCAAAATACACACCTTCATAAAGCCAAGTTTATTACTAATGCTCCTTTCATATACTAATAAGTGATTTTAAATCCAGTATACTAATTATTCAAAACATTTGTTGAAATTTGTCTCACAAACTTTCAATTTTCCCTGATGTCATTCAGTTCTTGAAGTACTGGAAAGAGTAATATTTTTATATTTTAACAAATGGCATTCATGTTTGATACAAACTTTGAAAGATTTGGAAGCTATTTAA